TTTCCTGAGTCATCCACAAGGCAGTGGAGCTATTTATCCCAAATGGCTTCCAGGGCTTCCAGGGCAGTAAGCAAGTAAATAAGTCAGTCAGTCAGTCAGTCAGTCGGTCGGTCGGTCGGTCGGTCGGTCGGTCGGTGAGTGAGTGAGTGATATGAATATGAACATACAGTATTTGGACTCCGGGTAGGATCTTTCTCTTACTCCTAAATGCCACGTGACTATAGATGAAAAACAATTCTTTGACCCAGGTTAATTGGAGGATTTTGCGCCAGCATACATGTTTAACCCCGCCACATTCTGAATGTGTCTGTCCAAAGTCGGGAACCTGTATTCGTTTGTTGCTGTATATCACATTTGTTTTTCGTTTATTGTTTTGTACGTAAATCAGGTCGTTAGTTTTTCTTGTTTGAACTGTTTTACGTTTGGCATTTTATAGCTTACTATGTGGTATTGTTTTTGCTCCGTATTGAAGGCCGTACGGTACGTCATTTGGACTCTGGTGGAGAGTTGTCTCATTGGAAATCATACCGCATCTTCCTAGTTTTATATTTGGCTTACTTCTTGACCTCCCGCATATGAGGCGAGAACGCTACTACGAGACCAACGAGATAGCTTTTCAACTGGAGACTTAGGAGGCTCAATATTGCAATGATTTCCCTAGAAAATAAAGGAGAATAAATATTAAGAAGACGCATTTATAACCTAAATCATGCATGTCATAATCGATTTTCATGCATTGGCGATCGATTATTTTTCAAACGTATTGCAAGGTGTTAGCGGTGGAATATAAACTGTCTTTGATAGGATAGGACTAGGTTAAAAAAAGGGAAAACCACCAGAAAATAATATCAGCTATATTATTCGAAATTTCAATCACGCAATTTATTAAAAAATGTGATTGGCCCGAGAAAAAGCATTGCTACACTTTTTAAATTTTGATATTTTACTAATTATAACTATATACTAGGTACTATTCGTTATGAAATAGATACGAATAATTCCAATACTACCTGATCATGAAAAAAAAATGACTTGATATTTTTAATGACATATATTGCAGATTATGGAATTGCATGTATTTCCCTTTTCAGTCTTTTTATAGTGCATTCTATATAATTTATATCTCCATGACCATATGTTTAAGTAGAATTTATGTGTAGTTTTTCTAATATAACTTTGTATTACGAACAAAACCACCCATGATTCACTGCTTGCATAATTATTAGGTGGAGTGGTACTTATAAAATGTACAAGAAATTCAAAACTATAAAAACTGAATTTATCTTCTATTCTTTTTCTTTAGCTCATCAAATCTATAACAAAGTTTAAAGAGTGGATGCACACGAGATAAAATAGTTTGAGAAGTTAAAGTGCACATTTTAAAAAATACAAACCTGAAAACTTAAAAACTCGATAACAAAATCTGAACCTGTCAGATTTTGAACTGATGTGCAAATTGGATTAAAATCTCAATTTTGTATATTAAAGTTGTTTGCCATAATAGTATGGTATCAATAAAAAGATCATATGAACCTTGAAAGACGGGCCGGACATAAACACCCTATAGTAACAGATGTAACCGCGAAAACTTAACATTGACCATGCAATGAACTATGAATATGAGGTCAAGGTCCGATGAACCCTTCATGACGGACAAGAGCACCAATTATTCCATACATGAAAAACAAAGATAACGTATTGCTTGTAGTATCTGAGAAACAAATATAACCACGAAACCTTAAAAGTTGACCAATGGTCCATGAAATTGAGGCCAAAGTCATATGCATCTAGCTAAACGGACATGAACAACATATAATCATTCCATTCTCCAATAAAGTTGACCGTTTGCTTGTAGTAGCTGAGACACATAACAATAAACCAATGAACAATGAAAAAGAGGTCAAGGTCAGATGAACCCTGCCAATCGGACTAATTCATCTTACAATCATTTCATACATAAAATATTGCTTGTATTCTCCGTGAAACGACTCTTTCATCTTACAATCATTTCATACATAGAATATTGCTTGTATTATCCGCGAAACGGACCATACCATAACTGGTAAAGCTTAACGTTCTCTCATAAACGAGACAACAAAGTCAGGGTCAGATGAAACTAACCCGACAGACATGTACACATCACAATCATTCCATACACCAATATAGGTGACTTAATTATTGATAATTGTATATGAGAAACATGCCAAACCACCACAACTTAACATCGACCAATGAACCATGAAAATGAGGTCAAGGTCATATTAAACCTGCACCTTACAATCATCACTTACAACAAATTTAGTGTACCGATTGTCTATAGTATCTGAGAATTGGACCCAATCAGGAAAACTAACCTTGGTAACTGATAAAAAAAAAAGAAATTTCCTGTCTGATGAACATGTGGAATTGGAAGGATCGTATGTACCAAGTAGATTTATCATGTTACTTTTAACAAAAAAGAAATTCATGAGACAATTTTTTTTTATTAAAGTAGTTGTTAAAGCATGAAAATGAGGTCAAGGACAATGGTACATGCTCTACCAAAATTTCGAATATAATGTGTCTGTATAAAATATATCTGGTTAAAAGTTGAGCTAATGATATTTAGACAACCACTATAAAACAATTCGGTATAATTGTGCTTCGTCAGCTTTATATTTTCTGTGTTTCATTTAAAGCTATTCTGTTTTTCGTTGTCTGTATGGTTTCCATATATAATGTCTTGTAAGGTAATAATACTATATAATATAAGCCTCTGGTCTTGTCTATACTTTGTCCTGAACAAATTTCAATATTTCACATTCAGTAATGAATTTGGTAATGTCTTTGGGGAAGACCATTCAGTTACCAATCCGCTGTTGTATAATGCCTTATTCTAAGTACAGACTACCTTTGCAAATGGAAAGGTCAAATTAAGATGAACCCTGCCAGACAGACATGTATACCTTACAATTTTTTCATACACCAAATATAGTTGACCTTTTGCTTAAAGTATTTGAGAAACTGACCAAAGCACAAAAACTTCACATTAAACAATGAACCATGAAAATGAGGTCAATGTAAGATGAAACCTGCCACGGACACTGTTTGGCAGCTGCCCACCTGCCTGCCGTACATCCCCAAATCAATATCCGATTTTTCTTTCGAAAATCTGGTTAATCATAGTTACATTTCCTAAATCTATAATAGTATATATTAATAGCAAGGTATTAGAGTAAAACACAACTCTGTTCGTCATATTGATTCAAGTGTTTTCCTTATTCCAAAACATTCCTCTTTAAATGGTTTAAAAGCTTATAAGACAGGCGTCATGTGGAGCAAGAGCTGCTTACCCTTCTGGAGCACCTACGAGTACCCCCCGTTTTTGGTGGGCTTAAATGTTGGTCAATCTTCAGTTTTTTGTCTCTCTTCAACTTTATGAGTTTTTTTTTGTTATTTGAAATACTGGTCAGTGTTTGATATTCAACTTAAGTGTGTTTTGACATAGGAAAGATATTGTATAAATGTTAAATTGAACAGGACATTTAAACTGCAGTATACATGAATTAAGGTAGACACAATTAACTATAGTTTCCATGTATCCCAACATTTTTGTCTGGTTTTTTTTAAAGAATATTTAATTCAGTTTCAATTTGGATTTAGTGGGAATTTTAATTTACTTCTGACAGTCAATTATTAAATTAAATTATGTGCTTTAAAACATTCATGTAGTCTATTCTAAATGCTTTTCTGCAATAATATCACATTTATATTGATTTACTACTGCCATTAGTCAGGATGTCAAGTTTGATCCTTAGGTATAAATGGTGCCTGTTTGCAATGAGCTCTTGATTGCATAATTGTGCTAAGAATCAATTCTCTATCACAAAATGGATGTAGTGTTTCATTTGATAATTTGTCTCGATTTATTTTTGTTAAGGTTTATTTAATTAATGCTTTCTTCTTCTTCAGTTATACAACAAAACTTCAGGATACTGAAGATTACTTGTTGTTGCGCATGCGTGTTTAAATTTAATTTTCTTGTAGATGCCAAAGAACAAAAAAAAAAAATATATACAAATTTGACAATTTGTGCATGTATATTACAAAAACTAGTGATTAAAATAAAATTTATATACAAAAATTTAAATCAGTTGGCAGAGAACACCTTGTGTAAGGTGTGCTCTGAAACTGTCAACTGTGGTTGACTGTACTGTGGCTATAGGTAGCATGTTCCATTGTATGATGGTGTGTGGGAAAAATGACCACTTATATGTTTCCTTTGTGGTTCGTATATGTCTATAAGTATTTGGATGGTTTTGTCTTGTTCTACTGTCTGTTGGTATTAAAATTTCAGATGGTATAGCAATGAGGCCGTGAATTACTTTGTAAAATATAATAAGACGTGTTTTAAGGCGGCGTTCAGCTAATGTTGGTAGTTTTAAATTATTCATCATATTTGTAACGCTACTGGTGTTATGGTAGTTGTTACAAATGTACCTAGTTGCTCTTCTTTGAACCATTTCTATTTTTTGGGTAGCATCTTTTGTGTGAGGGTCCCATAAACTGCAGCTGTATTCTAATTTAGGTCTGACTATTGCTTGATATGCTCTTGATTTAATGTCTGTGTTTGATATTTTTAAATTTCTTTTAAGGAATCCTAAAGATTTATTGCCGTTTGAGATAATATTGTCATAATGTAGGTTCCATTTAAGATTTGATTGTAGAGTAACGCCCAGATATTTAGCAGATGTAACAGATTCAAGAATGTGACTATGAAGGATGTAATCATGTAAATATGGTTTCTTTTTATGTGAAATTGAAAGTTTAGTACATTTATCAGGGTGGAAAGCCATAAGCCAATCTGCTTCCCACTTTGCTGCAGCGTTTAGATCTTCTTGTAATTTATCACAGTCTGATTGATTTTCAAATCATATTAAAGTTATTTTCTATTTTCTAAGATTAAAAAACTTATAGTACAAACCTGAGCTTTTTGGACTTTAATAACACGGACACAGATAATCTGTCATATGATTTATTTAGCTTGGTTACGACAATTTATACACTGCTTTACAATGAAGATATTATTTTACATATTTTACATTAGATATACAATGTTTTACTACATGATTATAATGGAAGCAGTGACTTTATATTGGCTCTCTCTATAAAAATCTGGAAACAATGCCCTATAAAACACTAAAAAAAGCACAAATATTTGAAAAGCCATCAAACCACATAAAGATTTTTCAAGATTCTATAAATATTAACCACTTCATTGCATATAAAAAAAAATTCTGCGTAAGAAAATTCTAATTTCAGAAAGGATCAAAAGCCACTGCATGAAATGAGTATGAATGATTTTATTAATGGAAACTACAATTTCTGAGATCAATTGAAAAACTTTCTTGTTGCATGTGGGCAGCAACTTTTAAGCAAGAAAAAGAAGAAAATAAAAATGTTACATACACAGGTATATGTACACACCATACACTCTCACATCTATAAGCACTCATCACTATACACTTTATGACTAGCATCAGGCACTAAAAGTTTACTCTGTGTTTATTGTAATTCTGCCAATTTCATTTAAAGCTACCAAAACATGCTTGTTTTTCAGACAATATCCAAGACAAAAATATTTGTATTTACATATTTTACCTTTACAATTGTACCCCCTAAAACGAAGGAAGAAAGGAAAGAAAGAAAAAAAGGGACAAATGTCAAGTGAAAATGAAGAAATTGAATAATTAATAATTATAATTCATATAAATTTTATAAATGTGAATGAAAAAGAAATGAGCATTAGACATGATTTCTGGTAGGAGAAATATCTAGCCCCAAATTATGTTTTTTTTAAAGAAAAAACCCAGAATTGTGTACAATTGATTTAAAGCAAATCATACATAATTGGGCAATATTTCTGATTTGATGAAATTTTGTATGCATTTATTTTGATTTAAATTAAAAGAAATACTTGCAATAATTAATCACAGTGTAGCCTAAAGAATCTTTATAAACTACCTATTTCAATTCTTATTATACCTTTATGTTAAAGGATGTGTTTCATGTTAATGAATAAGTTTTTAATAAAAAATATTTCCTAATTATGCAAAACAATTTTTTAAAATCTGTTTAACATGCCATAGTTTTTTTCAAATATTATTAAATCCCCAGACCACAATTCCAGCATGCAAGCTTTCTGTTCAATCTAAAACTGACAGAATTGCAATAAATCTACATTACAGGCAATTAATACAAGGAATTCAGGGTATTTAAAGTGTCTAAATTAAAATAAATAAAAAGCATAGATTTACAAAAAAATACAAATAAGCAAGACAAAGCCAGTTGTCCAACTCAAAACTTGGTGTGTGAGTAAAATTATAATCTAACACCCTAAAAATTTATATCCAATATGTACATGTCACAACTGATTTCTTCTTTTCACAACCATTCTGATCTAAACAATTTTATTTAACATGATACAATATATTCAATTATTCATATTTAATTGATTCAATAATCCTGTATTTAGACATATAACATATTGTGAATGGAAATGCCATTGCAAATAAACATGCAAATTTAATCATATTTCTGTTTAAAAAATTAGAAAATATTTATGAGCAATAATTGAATTAAAATATCCATTTAAAGTCCATAACAACAACTTCACATATCCTCCTGAGAGTCTGGAATCGCTGTATAATAAATAAAAAATACATCACACACCAGTTTGTTGGAAACAATTCTTAACTGCTAAGGGCTGTCTAGGTTTATGTCCCTGAAAAGAGAAAAAAAAACATAAGATCATCATAGAAACTATGTTAAGATATATTCAAGATACTATCAATAATTACACACATTGTTTTAGACAGATCAAGAATTTCAAGTTCTGGTTTACCATCAAATGTAACATTATGTATTTGCTTTTCCTGAACTTTGGGAGTATTTTAAAGATTTCATTTACATCCATAAATTGAGGTCAATGCCTTATGTAATACTTTTAATTTCATATGTAATAGTATATTTTTTCTATTAGGAATACTATTAATATGGAAATATAGTTCTCCAAAATATTAAAAAATGTGTGATTTTCACGAAACTGTTAGTAATGCAGAAATGGAAACAAATTTCTTTCCGGAAGATGTCTATGTCTATCATTTGGTTTGTAATGATTACTTTTAAGTCTTCACTTGTCCTATCTTATTCAATATTTGCCAATTATAAAAAAATGAAAATAAAAAATAAACCAAACAAGTATCATACACATGTATCTAGACCAAATTTTGAACAGTGCATATAATTAATAAATCTTTTTGTGCAATAGAATAAAATGTGCATTAGTAGAATGAACAAGTGATAACTAAACAATCCCCATTCAACATAATATATGTGTACTTAAATTGCATAATAAAGAACTTTGAAATCATGCAAGTTAATGAGAAATGCTCCTCATTAGGCTACTCAAAAAGTCTTATGATTTTAATTTTTTCAAATCATTAAAACATAAAGTTCAATGTTAAAATCCACTAAAACTTTAAAGCAAATGAGAAGCAGTGTGTCGAGGAAAACAATATCAGTCTAATGCCTACCATGTTAACATTCTTGACAGCTGAAGTTAACAACAAAACAGACAAGAAAAGTGGGACAGATAATATAGTTCACTTTGAATGCATCTATTCATTGTAAAGCAGTGATTTTCATCAAATTTTGCCATTATCATTAATTTATGGTTATAATAATAATACATTTGCACTTGAAATACAAAACTAAATATATAGTTATTTTGGCAATGTCTTGCAATTGGGTAATACGAGCACACGGAAAAAAATTAGTTACTATTAATTTATTTTTTATCATGTTATACATATTATAAATAAGGAGCACATAAATACTAAATTAGACTTCAAGATGTTTAAATAAAATAGTTACAAAACATATTTGGCAGAACAATTTGTTTAGATTCCCTACTATTTCAAAATATTTTTCAAAATGAGATGTTTTAGATTTTAAGGACTAACATTTCATAAGAATACTTATAAGACTATCATGTTTTAAAAAGATAAACACATCTTCAAAAGGCAATTAGTGATTTCAACATACTTTTATCTACAATATTGTAATCACATACAGAGAATATATATTCACTATAGAAATGTTTAATAAATTTCAAAATTTGTACATTAATAATAAACATATTGAACTACTTCCCCTATTTCAACAGAGGGGCAATTTGTTTTTGTTTTATCACAAATTAATGTGTTTAATAAAAAATAAACTGAAAAGCTTTTAATTTTTTTACATTCATAATAAACATATGCACTTATTTCCCTCAATTCAACAGAGGAGTGATTAGTATTCATTTATCTTATAATTCCATTTTCATCTTGCATCATTTGAGATATTAATTGAGTTTTTATAAAAAAAATTTTATTTAATATCCAAAAGAATAATTATTTATTGTAATCAAAATAAATACAAGTATTGATGTAATAAAACAGTTCTGTCTGACCTGAATAATAATCTGCATTTTCTTTTTCCATTCGATCATTTATAAAATACATGAATAACTGTTAAACAATATTCTTATCTGAGGTAAAAATCTTATTTTGTAACAATGGGAGTAACTTTTGCAGTCATTTTTTTAGGTGTGGTTTGCAGCTTATTAAAAACTTTTGCCAGATTTTTCATTGGTGTGAGTTGTTTGCCCATGTTTTTTAAGGGTGTGGTTATCAGTAAGAGCCCTGTTGGTGGCTTCTTGTTTCTAGGCGTGGTTGGTGTTTGTAACGAAAACAACTTTTTGTTTATTGGAGATCTAGGTGTTTTTCTCGACAACGACTCCCTGATTCTAGGACTTGTTGGAGTTCTTGTTCCTGATAACAACAGCTTCCTGTTTTTGGGAGTTGTTTGTACTTTCGAAGTTGCAAACTTCCTTTTTCTAGAAACAATAGCTGGTGACTTTTTGTATTGGGGAGTTGTTGGCATTTTTGTTGTTGAAAGCCTCCTGTCTTTGGCTAATTTGGATATTGAAAGCTTCTTGTTTCTGGGAGATGGTGTTTTTGCTGGTGACGACTTCTGTTCCATGGGTGTGTCTGGTGTTTTTGATACTGATTTCTTTTCAAAAATGTTGATCAACTGACTAACCTTCGTTGAACTTTTAGAGGCTGACACAAACCCATGCTGCCTTGTCAAACGTTTGTTCTTTGGAGTAAACCCTATGCTAAATGTTGTACTAGGCTGAAAGCATAAAAATCATTATTTAAATTAAACAGAAAAAAAAATTAAATACTGTCTTTTTAATAACTGAACTATCTCATTTGATGCTGTCTTGTTTAATCTTTTACAGAATTACTGTACCAAATTCACCACCAATTAACTTTCATATAGTAAAAAGGGAAGGTAGGTAGGATACTTCTTTTGGATCCTTAAATTTGAAAACCACAATGTTATGAATTTGTCAATTCAGAAATTATTGTGAGGTTTTTATTAATGCGAATAATATGACTGGGTGAGTATCCCAATAACAAGAACCTGCATTTTGATATCTGATACATACTAGTATATCTAAATGCAGATTTTCCTGAAATCGCAATACTTAATTTTGCATTTTTGTCCATTCTTCAAAAATCGCAATAATAAATGCATGCAATAATTTCTGAATTTACAGGATGTAAATATTTTATCCTTTATATGATCACAAGCCTGTCAGATTTCAATTTATTAAATTTCTTCTTTGCATTTTTAAAATAAATAATGTCTATAAAAAAAGGATGTCTGGTTCCTATTTCCTCTGCAATATATCTTATCCTCCATTAAAGTGTTCAAAATCAGTTAGATATTCAAGCAAAAATGAATTCATAGAAATATAGGACTACTCCATCATACTTTTATAAAATGCTCTTCAGGAAAACGCCAGGCCTAATGCATATATCAATTGGAAAAAAAAACATTTTATATATATACACTGCTCCAATCATTAAACTTGTTTCTTCAAATGTAAATAAAGGTTCTAGCCAGCTACAAATATGCCTCACAGTCAACCAAATCACTAATCCATTACAATCTAGTAATTGGCACCTTAGAAGCCATAAAAAAAGAGCTCTCACAGAAATTTGATTTCAAATAATTTTTATTTTACCTTAACATTTTCATTGGTCTCCTTTTTAGGAGTCTTCTTTGGAGTACGCTTCGGTGTCCGTCTCCTACCACTAGTCATTGGAGACCGGGGGGAATGTAGTAAACCTCTTCCTGGTGTCCCTCTAGAATTCCTCTTGTTAGAATTGCCAGGTGTAGGTGGACCTGGCTTCTGATAAACTGTATTTACATGTTTGGCCTGTAAAAGAACAAGTCATTGATTCAAGTGTGATTGACTGATAAAGAACTCTAATGCAACATTATTTATAACATTCCTTTTTGATTCAATAACACCACAAATTTCAGGGCATCAATTCACTGATGGATGGTCTGAATTTTTTTATGATCAACCAGTATTTTGTGTGTGTTTAAGATGAGGCTCTCAATGTTAAGTAAAAATGTTAATCTTTATTTGTGCATGAATATTGTGCAAGATTTCTTCAGAATGCATTTTTTTGTTTACATTCTTTTCCTAAAGACACAAAAACAATTGTCTACCTGCTTGTTCTTAGTACTGTCATAAAATTCTGTTTTCAGATCATCTTCCTCCACCAATTCTTGTTTCCTTTTCTTTAGACTGTTGGTACTCAGGCTGCTCTGCTGCAGTGATCTGTCAGGAAAAGCCCGGAGTTGAATCTTCTGTGTTTCAACAGGGTATGATGTCTTAAGATGTGGAAGACAAAGTGTGTTTCGTCGTGATAACTCACCAAGTCGCTTCCATTCAAGTACTTCACCTTCATCGTCCTCATCATTCACAAATCTTTTCATACCTTCTGAAAATTAAATTTTAAAAAATTCATTACAGAATGTACTGCTCGGACAACAAATTACAGATTTTCTGTCAAAATTTGCTAAAAAACCCTAAAAATACATAAACAAAATTTGAAACCAATTTGAGTGAGAACGACTTTCATCAGGTACATTTCAGACCAGAAATTTGAAAAACACAAAATTTAAACATTGAAAAGCATCAAAACCAAATTGGCGTAAACAGAAATATAGCTCTTATAAAACCAGCTACTGAGTTCAAAACTAATAAGTTGGCACTTCACATCAACATTGTTTCATTCTACCAGCTATTTACATGGGAAATACTTTTGAGAATTTGTGATTGCGAAATTAAACCAGCCAGAAAGGCGTCTTTGTTTAGATTAATCTTTATGTTTGTATGATTTTTTTAAAGTCAGTTGTGTTGTATGTCTGTGATGTATGTTTTCACAGTTTTAACTGCTGGATCCCAATTATTGTCACATTAACCTATTATGTCTGTTTGGGTTGCTCACTCAACTTTGTCATACAAGTGGGAGGGTTTAGCTAGCTGGAAAATCACGTTTAACCCACCATTTTCTTTGGAAAATGCATGTACCAAGTCAGGAATATGAATGTTGTCTCCATTCATTCCATTGGTTGATAGTGTTTAACGTTAAGATTTTGTCAGTTTAATGGACTTCCCATTTTTGAATTAACCCTTAGAGATCATATTTTTTTTCATATTTAATACGAAACCACTCCATAAAATATGAAATAACTTACTTGAAGTTGTTGATCGCACAGAATCTATACTAGCTATGGTGGCGTTCAGATTAGGATCGGATAGTGATGTCCGTCTGCCGTGACTTCTCAATGATAAAGGAGAAACATTCTTCTCATCTCCATCACTGTATAAATATAAAACAACTGAACTCATATTTGGACTGTTTGATTAGGTAAGGTTAGTTAAAGTAACTTTTTGTTAAAGCATTTGACTGTTTCCCACCATTTCAAATATTTATTGATTAGTATTCTATTTTCCCAAATGTATTGATATCATATAATTTTAGTCAACCACACTAATTATCTCAATTTTTTTCTTTTTTGTTTGTTCTTGGATACTTTACATCTTCCTGGCTCATATAAAATATTCCAAATAATGACAAATGAAACAAATGGGATAAAACTTACTTTGAACACGTTTCAGAGATTATATGAAAACTGTTGGTTTTCTCATTTGAATTGGTTTACATTTTGTCATGTTGGGGCCTTCAATAACTTACTTAAGTGTTTTGCTCATTGTTGAAGGCCATACAGTACAGTAACCTATAGTTGCTTAAATCTAAGTCCTTTTGTCTCTGTCACCAGGTGGATAATAGTCCTATTGGCAATCATACCATATTTTCTTATTTTCATATAAATACCATTCTATTGGACCAAACATATGATAAAATACAAAGAAGTCTGACAAACCTTTTACATGGATGTTCCAATGAACTCTGAGATGGGTTTCTTTCCAGGGAAAATTTTCTTGATGATCTGAGGTTATAAGGAGTAAGTGGACCACCATCATCACGGAAACTGGTTTCTTAAAAAATAATTAAAGATAAAATTATAGGATTTTTCTATTTTCCTTTCTTTATACTAAATATATAAAATAATATAAGACTTACACTAATCACACATTACTTTCATAATCACTTTTAAGGCACACAAATTGTAAAGAAAACTTTTTTTTGTCTTTGACTAACCCGGAAACTATTGCAAACATAACCTGCAACCAAAGATAATATATGATTCTATCAAAAGCTGAAATCTACAAATGATATACCGTGGATTTCTTTATTTTCATGATGCCACTGGATGTTAAGCAACCAACAATCAATCAATCAATCATTATTTTCATGAATACCATTTACATAGATAAATTGTATTTTTGTAGATAGTTAATATGATGATTTTGACAAATTCTGCATAAAGCCTATATGTATGTACATGTATATAGGAAATATGTATTGTTTTGAAAAAAAAAAAATACAATGATTCTTTTGACTCATTATCAATTTAATTCTGAGCTTCATTGTTACTATATAAGATATATTAAATGTTATTTTACCAATTAGGCTAACATCTGACTCTTTCTTTAACTTCATGAATTCTGAATTATCTCCCAAAAACACTGTGCCAGCATCATCTAATTTATGGCGTAGTTGTCTAACTTGTTTATCAGCATAATCTAACTGAACTTCCAAGGTCTTTACTTTGTTTTCTATTAAGTGATAAATAAAATTATTACATCAGAAATCCAGAAATAAGGTAACTATTTGATAAGAGAAAGCAGAAAGTTATATAAAATATAAAATATCATGTCTTATAAATGCTTCGCTTTTTTTTCTTTGGGTTGCTGTCTAATTGACTAAAATCAACATTTCCTTAATACTTTAATATATGAATTTGTTATGAATGTGTTATGGATATTAATCAGAGTTAGACATTTTTTTTAAAATGAAGAAATTTGATTCCAGGTCTTTTATACATCAGCACTTTTCATTTCTATAACTTTATCTGCTAAGTATACTTTTACATTGATTTTTTTCCGACATTCAAGCAAATTGATGTTACAAAAAGGCAACCTCATAAACATATAAATATATATACATACATTTTTGTATGGTCAGCAGCAAAAATCCATCAAATTAAATTTATTCCATATGCTCGAAAAAGTTTTTATTCTATTAATTTTTTAAAAATTTGAACACATTTTTATTATATTACAACTGATGTATGATAACCCTGAAAAAGTTTGATAAACTAAAGATTTGTTGAATACTTTAAAAAATTTTGAGACTTACGAAGTGTTTTATTTTTGTTCAGTTCTTCCTGCAGTTGAGATTTTAATGGTGCCACCTCCATCTCAGTCTTACAGAACTTATGTTTCTGTTCCTCTATATGACCTTTCAGTTGTTCGAGTTCTTTTTCTAACTTTTCAGATTTTGCCTTATAGTTGTTTTTCAACTTATTCATTTCTGTCTCCAACTTCTCAGTTTTTTCTTTGAAGTTGTCGGCCAGTTTTTTGTTGATGGCAACCTCTTGTTGTAGAAGTAGATTGGTCTCTTTCTTCTGGGCATAGTATTTTTGGTACTGTGCAATTGTTTTGTCTTTCTTGTCAGTATTTTCTCCTATGTTCTTCATCTGTTGTTGAAGCTGGAGTGTAAATAACAAAAAATAAATCCTCAAAATACAGATATAGACTTTTTCCATGTGAGTACAAAAACCGAAAAGACATGAAATTGTTTGTATCTGAAAAAAATAATTTCTTCATCATTGTTCTGACATTAATTCCAAAACAGAAATAATATCAGCTAGCAAAATAAATACAATTGTACACAATGAGAAATGGTCACAAACTGTAAAACAACAAAATTTCACATTTTTTTGTGAGTGAAAAAACAATGCAAATATATCATTACAATTATGTCATACTTAAGATCTACACATTATCAAAGGAACATAACTCCAGACAACAAAAAATTTCCATACATGTAAATCATGTCATGTTGTGTTGTCATCTACATACAATTATTCATCAGTCAACTGCCTTTTTATCTTTGCAATCACTAAACCAATAAATGGGGCACTTAATCTTAAGTACAAATTAAATTTAAAATTTTCCATACATGTATTTTCTGTTGGTTAGCTTCTGTATACTGTTTCTTACAGCCCTCCATTTCCTCAGACCACTGTTTCTCCCTGTACTCAAGTTCCTCTTTCAGTTCTTTAACCTTTTTGTCTAATTGATCTCGATGGAAATTTTTCTCCACTTCTAACTTCTGGACCTAAAATGAAATATTTGAATACTCAATATAATAATAAGTTCAACTTGCATTTTGACTGCCACTCATAAATATGGTATTATAAAATTATAAGCAAAGATGTTGCCACATAGATCGTCCTGAATATGCATGAAAGATTTCTCACTGCATAGATCTAAGACAATAAATGATATAAGAAATAGTTCCATAAATGGTAAACAAATTGGAAGCATTCAAATTTTGTGGCTGGTTCAAAACAGCATATTTCAAAGTATTAATTTCTAATTTTGTGATTCCATGATTTTCATGTTACAATTTAATAGTTTTTTGTTGCACTTCAATGAAAATAGGAAGTTGGTACACCGTCAATACTACTGAGGTTACTCATTCTACTATACTTTACCCTATAATAAAGTGGAAATCTTCCAATAAACTTTTAAAATTTCTTGGATGTTGTTTTACCTGTGATTTAAACATTTCTATTTTCTTCTTTAACTTTTCTTGATCTGTGAAATCAGTGTTTTTCAAATCTAAAGTCTTTTCGTAGTCAAGGATAAGCTGATTTTTCTCTTCTTCTACTGCAGCCAGCTAGAATATTCATTTTTTTTTAAATAAATCATTACTATGATATTACAAAGGGTAAAAAACATTTCATTGATTCACTTATTTGCTTGCTTTATGTTCAGTGGCAAATATTTCATGCAAGTTAAGGATGAAAAGACATTGCAGATGCTCGATATACATTTTGTTTTAATCATGGCACCTTATAAAACTGAAAGAGTAAGAAATGAGACTTTGATATACACAGTTTAGCTGTTCATTGTCCCTAAAATTTCATGCATGCACAAGTTTGAATTGTAACAAATGGAAATGTTTCATGGTTTTAGGTTGTCTTTGTACACATGTATTTTTTTAAAGCAGTTAGTAATAATGTTTTAATTTACACTGATTTTCACAATTTTCTAATTTAAACTATTTTTTAATGTTCTTTTGCAACATATTTGTAAGACAGAACGGATAAAAAAAATGCTTAACAGAAATACTATTGAATAGGTCTTTGGTTTTGCACACAAGATAACCAATATCTGATTATTAAATGACTAATATTTTTTCTGTCTATGAAGAAATAACCTCAAAATGTGGTGCACACTGAATAACCCGCATAGCGCGTTATTTAAAAGTGTGCATCAAATTTATGAGGTTATTTCAAATAGACAGAAAAAATATTACAGTCTTTCCTTATATTTTAATTTTAAATTCCATTTTTCAGGAGTAAATCATGAAAAAAACGTTGATGACGTCACGGTCTCATGACAAAATCAAATCATGTCTATGAGCTGATAGACAAAAACCTTTCAGACAATCAGGAGACGTGTTACATCCAAAATTAAATTATCTAACAATAACAAAATTACCTGCTGTTTCAAGCTATTGTTTTCAGCTAATGATGTTTCCATTCTTTCTTCCAGATGGTGGCACGATTCTTCCATGTTTATTCTTCGTTGCTTTTCATCCTCTATTTGTCTGTTCTTCTCTCTTTCAAGTTCGGACATTTTACCATTATACTCTTCCCTAAGATTATCAAGGTCAGAGTCCCAAGCATTTTTACTGGCTTTCAGAGAAGTTTCATAGCTCGTTCTTTTTTCACGCAAAGCAGACTGAAGCTCATTGACCCTTTCTTTATTTTGTTTTAATTCATTCGTCAAGTCTTTCTGATTTGACATTTCTTTCTTCAATATAGATTCTATATTAGCAAGCTTCTGTTTGTAATCTGTTTCTGTCTTTCCTTTGTCCTCATTCATTTCTTTCGTCAAAGTCTGAATCTCAGTTTGTCTTTGAGTAAGCCTATTTTCAAGGTAATTCACTCTTTCCTGGAATGCCATCTTCTGATTGGACAAGATCATTTCCCTTTCTTGAACCAGTGCCTCATACTGTGACTGGTACCTGACTTCCTGCTCCTGAACTTGACTGTCATATTCCTGTTTCTGTTCATCACTAGCTTGAGCATACTCATCTTGCAGTTGCTCTAGTTGTGACTGCCAGTATTTTTCAGTTTCAGAGACCTTTACCTTACATTCCTTTCTCAAACTGATCATTTTTTCATTTTCTTGTTTCTGTTCACCTGTCATTCTTTCAACTTGAAGTTTAAATTCACTTTTTAATGATTCTAAATCATTTTTGGATTGCTCTTTCAGTTGCACAATAGTATTTTCAAACTTCTGTTTTGATTCTGAAAATTCTGAATTTAGTGACTGAAGTTCCATTTTATGATTTTCGAAAAGTTCATTCTTTTCTTTAGACAGTTTTTCATTTGTTCCTTTCAACCTTGTTTCACATTCATTTAAAACTGTTTCCTTCTCGCTATGAATCTGTTCTAATTCCTGTGAATGCTCTTGCTTCAATAGTTCCAACGATGACTTCAGATCTCTGTTTTCTTGTTCAAGTCTAAGAATTTCAGTGTCACATGAAAGCAAATCAGATTTCATTTTTTCAATTTCAGAGTTCAGCACATTCATTTCTGACTCACTTGATTCCTTTAATTCTAAAAATTCATTTTTATGAGATTCTAATAATGTCTGAATCTTCTCATTCAATTCAATTTCTTTATTATTGAAAACAAGTTGTAAATTTTTCAGTTCATGGTTCACATTTTCTAGACTTTTGTTTAAATCCTCGTTATTCTCAGTAAGTTGTGAAACCTGTTCGTTGGAAGAAACAACTTTTTCCTGTGAATTCTGTAATGAAATTTTCAAATCAGAAATCTGAGCATCACGTAAAGATACAGCTTCAACCTCCCGACTAAGAGATGAAGATTTTTCTTCCAGCACTTTTTCAGTGTCTACAAGTTTATTATTGACTTCACATAACTCTTTCTCCAACTGATTCACAAGACAATTAATCTCTTTATGTTTGTGTCTTGTTTCATCGTTTTCTTTACATTCTTTCAGTAACTTTTCATTCAAATCTTCTACTTTCACATTCAAACTTTTATTTTCTGAGCATAGTTTATCGTTGTCTGCCTGTTTAGATTCCGCAACTTTCTTAATCAGAACAATCTGACCAGTCAGGTCATCAACCTTCTCATTCTTCTCCTCACTAAGATTTTCCAAGTCCCGTTTTCGACTTTCCAACTCAGATATTTGTTGGTGTAATTCCTTCATTCTGCTGTCACGAGTTCTTTCATGATCAGTCACTGATCTATATTTCATGTCCAATTCATTATACTCAGCAGCGACTTTATTCAATTCAGCTTGACCTCTTTGCACTTCCTTAGTAAGCTTCTCCTCTGACACAGCAGTCGTGAGACGTTGTTGTTCCAGCTCATTGTTTAAGCTGGTTAGAATACCATTATGACTTGCTGTTTCCTTATCATACTTTCCTTGTAATTCTGCCAGCTGATTTTTAAACTGAGCAATCTGAATATGGCATAATCTCTCTTTCTCTTTTCCTCTCTCCATTTCTTTTTCTAGTGAAGTCTGTATTTCATTCATGCATGATTCTAAGTTCTGCTGGGTATCTAAACTACTTGCCTCTTTGGCCGACAAACAATTCCTTAGTTTCTGAATCTCAGTTTCATGTTCCTGTGAAATCTTATTCACTAATTCAGCATGATTTTCTTGTTCAACACTAAGATTTTCTTTCATTTCTTCCAACTGCTTTTGTAAGTTTTCTTTGCTGTTTGTAACCTGAGACACCTGACCTTTCAAATCATTCACACATTGTTTATGGCTCATTATTTCACTTTGCAAGTTCTCAATTTCCAAGCACTTTTCTTTAACAGAGTCTTTTAAATCAGATATTTCTTCAGAAAGTGATTCTTGGTCATGCTGACTCCACTGATATTTACCTTGTAAAGCCTTAAGTTCTTTCCTTAGGCTGTCTTCTTGATCTTTTGCCTTATTTTCAAATTTACAATATTTTTGTTCCATTGTAGATACTGATTTCTCACTGGCTACCTTCAGGTTGTCAAGATCATTTTTCAAAGCAATATTTTCATCTTTGACGCTCTGCAACTGATCACACATGTCATTTTCTTTTTGCCTAGCTGTTGTTTTAAAAGCGAGTAGTTCCGATGAAATTTTGTCAATTTTTTGCACATACGAATCTTTCTGTTCTGCAATCTGTTCTTCCAATTTATTTTTATTTTCAGTTAATTGTGCTATTTCAATTTGAAGCCTGTTTTCTGTTTCTGTAAGTTCCTCCTGAATTTCTTTCAGCTCTTCTCTTATTGCTGTAATTGTATTATCCTTTGTCCATTTTTCATTCTCCAAAAGAATTTCAGTCTGTTTCTGTGACAATTGTAAGGTTTGTACCTTAGATTTCAGTGTTTCCTCAATTTTGGCTGCCTCTTCCTGTTCTGTGTGTAGTTTCGCTTTTAGCTCTGCGACTTGTTCTTCAAGCTTTTGATTTGATTTAAGAAGGCGTTGTTCAAGAGTTTTCTTTTCAGACAAAGCCACATCAATAGATGCTGCCATGGTTTGACGTCGGTTCTCACTTGCTTGTTTAGTGCCCTCTAATTCCTACAACAATCAAGAAAAGTATAAATGGATTTTAAATCCTGAGGGCAAGGTGACCTAATATCTTTTAGGCTATTCTGTTTAGGCCCTTTATTTGTAAATGTAGTTCTCAGTGTCTAATGTAATTGGTGTCAATTTTTTTTAATCTTGAGCATACCTGATGAAAATGACGGATAGTGTAGTGTGTGTATCATGATTGTATTAGAAATAAAATTATAGTTTTAAAAATTTTAATGAAATAATATGGTGTTAGATCACATGTTTTCCGATTCCTACATAATCAAGTGATTTTCTGATAAAATATGAACTGAAAGTTAATTAAAATCTAAAAGGAAGCTACAACAAAGAAAAGTTGACAAATAATAGGAAAAGACAGGAAAGTGCCCAAAGACTATGTTTAAATGAAAAAACTCCTTTTTTCTTACAGAAAACCATTTTTTGTTGAAAAGTTTCAACTTTTTATTTCAAAATGTTTTGTTTTAATTTTTTTTTAGAAGTCGCTGATTCAGAGACAAATTATTCCACTGTTACATGAAAGTTGCCTGACCTGCACTGTTAACTTGAACTCTGTCTGTAATCGTGACTGATCTTTCTGTAAAGTGATGATTTGTTCTTCAGCAGCTTTCCTGGCAGCTATGGCAGATTCCTCTGATGAAATAAGTTTAGCTTCTGACTGTCTTAGATGGTTTATCTCTTGTTCTACCTCTTTTACCTTCTTTTCCAACTTGGTCTGATTTTCTTGGTAAACGTCGATGCTAGATTTAAGTTTAGAAACTTCTAGCTGAAGCTGGTCTACCTGACTTTCTTTTTCTAAATACTGTTTATGAACATCACTGAACTTTGCCTGCCAAGAAGATAGTTAAATAATTAACAGCTGATTTTTAATTTCATTGTATATTTAATGAACTCCTAAGTATTCTTGAGATAGTATCATATACTGTATATTCATATCGAACACTTGAACATTTTTAATATTTCTTAGTTGCATAAAAACAATAACAATGTCATTAATTTATTTACTGATTTCTTGTAACAATGTATGTATGCACTGTAGTTTGAACACCAAAAAGATCAATAATAGAAGAAAAAAAAACAGTTTGATTTTTGGACTTGTAATGTACTTCATTGGAACTATTTTCAATATAGAATTTACATTTCATAATACATTGTAATTAAAATGTCAAGGAAATACACAAAAAAACCTGTAATAAATTTAAATCCATCAATCCAAAATACTTCCTACAAATTGTTAATGTCAGATTAGCTGGCACATAAACAATTCTGCTTCATCAGAATGCATCTATTTAAGAGAAGTTTAATTGGGTATCGCAAAATTTACTATTGTTTGTAGTTGCACAAATGTAAAGAAAGTGGCATTCAATCTGATCAAATTTAAAGACTAAACCAACCTCGAAAGTATCTCTAGCTTCTGAAACAGCATCAAGTTTCTGTTGTAGTTGTTCATGTGCTGACAATTCAACCCACGACGACTTCATATGTGCCATTTCATCTTCCAATTCCTTAATTCGTTTGTCACTGATCACCCCCATACTTTCGCCATTTACAGCACCTGTTGGGAGAAGAAAGGATATGTACATATTAAATGAGCAGAACTTGTAAGAATTATGATTATCTCAAACAATTAACAGATTGCAAAATTAATGGATTTCAAAATCATCCAATATTTGATTTTTTATTAAGTCTGTTCCAAAACTGATCATGGTGCGAGGCACTCAAATTATACATTTTCCTTAGAATTTTGTAAGAACTGCATGTAAAATTCAAATTTTATATTATGGGTGGTTGGTGTCTCCCATCCCCACCATGTGTTTCATTCTGGAACAGCCCTGACCTTCAAAGCAAAAAAACATAACTTGATAAAAATACATGTTTTTCAAAAAATAATAATCAAATAAATATTTAATTGTCATGGTTGCCAATTTGCTTCCTACATATAAAGATATTATTTAATTGATTTAGCTATACTGCAAACATTTTTATTCTGTATGGAAGTATTAATAATTTTTTTATAGTTTACCAACCTAAATGATATGTAAAATATCTTTTTTGTCACAATTTTGCTATTTTATAAGATATCTAGATTTCCTCTATATTTGTTTCTTAAAAAATGTAAAAACTAAATTCACTTTAAAACACAGCACCATGTTTAACCCCAAAATCATCATGAACTTGACCTTTCACCTATGATCTTAAATTCAAATAGGGTCTAGTTTCTCCTGATGATTATTCAATGTATTATGTACCAAATAAATGTGATGATGAGCTGTACATAACAATGTCAACTGTTACTCAAATATGTTACAAGCATATAATCCAAGCAAATAACAAAACCATGCTACTATAATATCCATCATTACATACTGTTAGGGAATTATACATTATTTACCTCTGCAACTTAAGAGCTCTTCAAATTCTTCTTGATCTTTTTTCAAGCTCTCAATTTGACTTATTAAATTTCTGTTTTTCTCCTCAGAATGACACATCCCTATGTTTTTGCTTTCCAATTCACTATTCTTGTGTTGAATCAAGCTTTCTAATTCTGACAATCTAACAGACTTGAGATGACACTGAGTTCTGTATTCTTCATGGCTTTTCTTAAGACTGTCCATAGTCTGAACCTAAAGATTATATACAAATTTCACTGAATGTTTATAATGCATTCAAAAATGAATTAAGTATGAGTTAAAATTTTTATATAACTTATTTATAAGATATCTAGATTTCCCCTTATATTTGTTTCTTAGAAAATGTAAAAAAATAAATTCAATTTAAAACACAGCACCATGTTTAACCCCAAAATCATCATGAACTTGACCTTTCACCTATGATCTTAAATTCAAATAGGGTCTAGTTTCTCCTGATGATTATTCAATGTACCAAATAAATGTGATGATGAGCTGTACATAATTTCATAATGTAAATTTTGGTTATTATGTAGTGTTTCCTGAACATATTTTGACAAAGTAAAACTCAAAAGGTTTACTGTTTCACAAACAAACTTACAGTGCTGTGTCCACAAAGTATCTAGCTACTGAATGCAAAAAGACAACAGTTCTGTAAATTTAACAGTTGTATAAACAATGTGAGAAAACTATGTTAGCTAGTTGAAATGTTGGATGGTCAGACTCCAAACATACCTCTGCTCTCATTTTTGAAAACTCGTCTGTAAGCTGTTTATTTTCTTGTTCTACAATCACATAATGATCTTTGATGTTCTGCAATTCGTTCATTTTCTGTTGAACCCTGGAAAAAGAGTAAAGAATTTGAGAAATGCTCAAACTTCAGAATCTGGAAGTCTGAATGATCTCTCAAAATATTGAGTTTAGTTGAATAGTAATGAATGCAGCTGTTTATTGAAATAAAATTGTTCCATCAACTTATCATTAATTTTTTTACTTGCCATGATCAGCATGGCGGGTGCAGTTAGTGGAGCAGAACTGCTCACCTTTTTTTAGCACAAGAGATTACCCCAACTCCCCGTTTTTGGTTGGGTTCATGTTGCTCAATCTCCAGTTATTTTGTGTATTGTTTTGTAACGGGTAATGTCTTTTTAAGGTGGTATATAACACTACAGGGAGATAACTGTAAAAATCAGCTGAACATTTTAATCATGTTCTATTGTTAAGGAAATATTAAGCTTCTCAATGATCAAAATAAGTGTTTGTCAAACTATTAGTTATCCAATGAAATTTTTCCGATAAAGTGTGTGGTTCAAGTTTTTTGAAATTTTTACTTTTTTATCAAAGGGTCAAAGTGAATATTTTGTCAAAATTTTATGAAATTAAACGAGCCAAATTAATTCTAGTCAATGTGTTTGCTACCACCTTAATGTTTTTCTTTTGGTCATGGTGTTATGGGTTTTTCTTTGACTTATGGTTTTCGATTGCCCCATGGTATCTTCTACCTCTCTTTTTATTGTTGCAAGAGCGTTTATAATACATTTGTACCTTGTGAGATCCTTTTCATTCTTCTCTTTTTCTTGTCTCAGTGTATCTATTTCATCTACCATGTCTTGAACTTTTCTCTGTTGTTTCACTACTTTCTCAAATTCTTTTATTTTATTATCTATAGAAAACATTAAACATCATTAATCATATTACATGGGTCATGATACCACTTGATCACCTATTCTGCAATTAAAATCAGATCGTAAAGTGTTTTGAAATATACCCAAATACCAAAAGAGCAATAACTATATAAAATCCCCAGTAACTGCATGAAAATATGTGATTTACAAATGTAGGTCGTAACTAGGTTAAAAATACTGATGAGGCTGCAACTCAAGAGATACATGAAAAAAAAACAGTAAGCACCTTTATCATTTAACTTTTCCGTCTTTTCATGGAGGTCAAATTCCAGTTCTGTCCTAAGATGTCTTTCATTCTGTAGAGACAACTCAAGCTTTTTAATTTCCCTCTCTCTCTGTCGAATAAGTGCCTGAAATGAAAAGGCATAACCTCATCTATAATGTAAATACTGCATTTGACACTTGTAAGTTTACTCTGCTAACACCAATAGCTTGCAAATGAAAATAATAACTTTCACACATGATAAGTTGCATAGTTCATCATTTATATTCAGAATGTATTTTTATGACCCTTAATTGGTTAATATATGTGACAATGTCTGTAGTACTCAATTCAAAAATAAGATTTTTTTAAACAAATTTTAAATCATGATAATATCCTCATGGTATGGTAGTCATGATTTTCACTAAAATTGTTTTTTAAACTTGTGATGTGTATGCCATTAATTTTCACAAGCAAAAGTGGGTATTTTTTTTCGTTTAAAACACAGTTTGTCAGACTAACTTGTATGGTTAGTAAATTCAACCATGGTCAATAAAATTAAAAAGATTGCAGGCAATGATATTTGTAGTTTTTTTAAGGACAGTTTGTCATCAATGACACATGAAACCATTTAAAATACAAAATGGTGCTTAATCTGAAATGTAAAGATCACTGGCTTATTTCATTAAAATCTGTATGCTTGGAAAATATTCTGCATCTTCCTTCAATGTGAATTACTTGCAAATGACTTTGTTTTAGTAATCTTAATTTCATGTAACTTTTTAAAAGTCAGTTGTTAGAAATTTGAATATAGATTTGTACAATACCTTCTGTGCCAGTTGTGGCGACTGCATCAATGCACTTAGTGGTGTACATGGTGAATTAGCTATGGTCATCATTCTGAGTGGAGAGGCTATTTCTGATGACAAACTTGTGTTAAACTGATGGTGTTGAGATACAGGACTAGCCACTACAAATATTCAAATGACATTACAGATTCATTATAGTTTCAGAAACACATTACTGAAGTTTTTTTTTAAAAAGTCTCACAATCCTGCTGGCTCATGAGGGATTTCCCTTTAAAATAAATGTGAGAGGGAAGGAAAAGTACTTTTATTTTGGACATGTGTCCATTATATGTACAATTACCCAAAGAAAAATACAATTACTCAAAGAAAGATACAATTACTCAGAGAAAGATTTATATGTACAATTACTCAAAAGAAAGATTTATATGTACAATTACTCAAAGAAAAATTTATAAGTACAATTACTCAAAGAAAAATTTATATGCAAAATTACTCAAAAATTTATATGAACAATTACTAAAAGATTTATATGCACTATTACTCAAATAAAGTATGTTGGGTTGTGAGGTATTTTGGAAGTACCTTCCAACCCTCCTAAATCCATTTTAATGGAATACTGCTGAAAATTCTGTTATATATTTTTTTCCCTATAAACATAAAATATATACTTTTATAACTGTACATATTGAATTATTACAGAGGTCTGTTTCTGAGTAGAACTTGACAATTGTGGTAATTTTACAAAATCAAAGGTTCCACGACATTTTGAATCACAGCAGTATTTGAATATGACAATTGAATGCAAAATTATTTTTCAGTTTTGGTGCATTATTGAAATTCATTTAGTATCCCAAGTGAACCCTATGAACTGACAATACAACTACTTTAACCTTGAAAATACATTTATAACCTATAAAATTATATCATTTATGATTCAATCTGGATTGCCAAATCTGTTAAACACATGGCATTTCTTATTAAAACAGCTACTTCATCTATACAAAAAATGTTAGTAAGCAACTTATGTTAGCAAAATCTAAACTTGGAAATAAATATTAATATAACATAAGCTTGCAGGTAATCATTCTTTACAATATTTACAAGCATGCTGTGAAAAATAAAAAAAAGAAAAGCAAAAGTGAAAAAGGTAAAAGAACCAACCAGTACCATGATTTGAAAATCTACTAAAGCTGAAAGAATGGTCCACATTTGGTGTTGACGTCACTCGACTCATGTTGCCTTGGGTAACTAGTTGGAAGAAAAGAGCAGCATCTTGGTGAGCATTGGTGTCTAAGAACAGAAAACAAGGTACCGAGAGGGTGCAAGGTTATTATTTAATACTGCCATTATTAGATGTGTATATATTCTCTTTCTCTCCATGTTGAACCTCTTTCAATAGTGAAACAACTTCAACTTAAGGGTCAAACCAGAACGTTTTTACATTCTGTACATATTGAACCAAATAAAAATAAAACGTCTTATACAAAAAATTTATAATTAGCATGTTGTTCCTAAGTGTGTACGAGTTTTTTTTTAACATTTTGAAACACAAAATCAGTACAGATAATTTTCATTTAACTTTATGCTATAACTGTTATCCGAAAATTTAAATTGACAACATGGAGTTTTTCTTTTTTTGTAAATTTTGATTTATATAAACTTTTAATAGTCCCCACTCTTTTTGAACTATAATTATTCTATTTAAATCTTTAATTCATAAGACATGATATAAGCACTAAGATATAGCTTAATAACAAGTTCAAATGGCTAAAAAATAAATGATTACTTATTTTTATATTGATTACAAGGGCTTGTTGCTTGTATTATTTACCCCTATATTTTACAGCTATTGGTTGTCAGCTTGTGAGAGAGCTATCCTTTTTTAATTTCATAATTATTTCCATTGGTGGATAGTTGTCTTATCGGGAATCATACCACATATTCTTATTTTTATGTTATTGCCTGACAAAACAATAATCTGCAAGTCAGTTTAATACTGATTTTTTTCTTGGAAATCTTTCCTCAGCATCTAGGAAAACATTCAAATTTTATGTTTTAGGAAATATTTGATTTGATTTAGAGAAATCTGTATAATGATTCCGATTTTTTTTTTCATTCTTAAAGGACCATTTCAATAAAAATTACCTTAACATTATAAATATGACACAACTACAAGTTAAAGTTATATAAAAATTACCTTAACATTATAAATATGACACAACTACAAGTTAAAGTTATCTACAAAGAATAGAGAAGTAACAAAAAACACATACATGTACATTCATTGCACATCTAGCAAGCAAAACAAACATAAACAATAAAACATATTTAATACAAACAAACCTGTAGTTTTAGTAAGAATATCAGCAAAGTCTTCAGTCAAGTGGTTACCAACGTCTTGAGCATTGATGATCAATGGCTGTAACATTTGCATAATCTCCATCTGTACTAATTCCGGGAGACTTGTTGCCGTGGTTACAAATGTATTGTTCTTCTTCTCTAGTACACATGCTTCTAACAATGCTAATAATATCTAAAACAGATTCAAAAGATAAGAAATGACACGTTTACTTAAAGAGTTGGACACATGGGACCCATTAAGACGTTTTGACCACTGGCTGGAAATCATAAAGACAACACAAACAGACATATTTGCACTTTAGTGCTGAGATTACATCATCCCAATCAAGAATCAACAAAATCATTACAATTTTGAAATAACTGAAAAATTGAACAATTCTTTGGATTTCAGGGGCCAGATAATACTTTATCTAATCTTTCATGTCATACTTTTATTGGCTTCTTTGACAATGGTCCAAATGTCACTTAATGCTTTACTTGATCTCAACTTGTAATATCTATTCTGTTACCATGTTATTATAATGTAAGGCCAAACATAAAAGAATGTGTTTAGGTTTTCCTCCATAAGAAAAATAGGATCTTTTTTTTTCTTTTGAGTATATGGGAAGATCTGCCATCTTCAGAGTTCTATAAATAAATCTTTTTTTCATGGTGGTTTTGAAGAAAATCTGCTGGTCCTCTCTTTTATTTCTATTGCAAATTACCAAAATTGTGTCGGACCTTTGCAAAATTTTGGTGGCCAAAACCTTTGAAACAACACTTTTCAAGAACTTTGAATTTTGTCACAATTGAATTTCAAGAATGCCAAAAAAAAAAAAAACATTTGAGGGTAGGTATTTTGAGGCACAAATAAAACATGTCAATCAGGAAACCCTAAACACTAGTATTTTTTTTTATTTTGGCTTAACTTTATTCTGCTACCATGTTTTTTTGTTTTACAACAAACCTTTCCAAGTTCCCATTCTTTGTCTTTTCTGTTAACACTGTCCTGAACAATAAGCTTGAAGTCTAGGAGAGTACTTCCAGGCAGTAGTGACACTGAATAAAATCCTATAATACAGAATATCACCAATCAAATTTTGAATAAATAATTCATGTATTTTGTTAATTTATTTGTTGAAGACAAAGATTGAAACTGTTTGCTTGCCCCATGTGAATGACTAACGAGTATTTGACATACCGACATATACAATGATATAAATTGCTTCCAATTTTTGTTTGTCGGGCAATTACATTATTTCATTTTTGCTACAAAATGTGGTAAGTTCTTTTATTAATAAGGTTTGCCTTTATTGTATACTTTGCTCTCAACATATTTAACATAATCTGTGCTTGATAACAGTTTAATCAGTCATTTGTATTAAAGTTATATTTATATGTGTGATGATTTAAGACCATTATCTATTCACATGTAATGTTACATCATCATGAAGGAAATCAAGAGTGCCTTGAAAACACAAAACAAACTTTGCTGATTTCCTGGCAATCCTTGACCACATGCTGATAGACTGAAAGTGTATCATCAATTTTGCATATGACTGAACTGAAATAAAATTGAAAACAATTCACAAGTGGTGATTATAGATGGCTTGGTCACCAAGTTTCTTTTTAATTTATTCCCCAAGATTTCTTTCTAAACAGCAAAACTTTTAAGGATCCAGCTTGTGCCTTCACCCTACAGAAGAAACTCAAAAAATTTTCTTGCGAGGGTTTATTTGTGATTTCATCATCACCATTGCAAGTAGTTTTGTCTGGCAGTCTGATCATTAACAGAAAAATATTGTATGTGCATTATCTGTTTTGTTTTGGGGAAGATAATAAATATCAAAATCATATATATGTCAGGAAAGCACACTCTGAAAAATATATGTAGAAACAATACTTGTAAGTACCTTCTAAATACTGTTTTACCAAATCTAATCTTTGTTGAGCTGTCTGTGGTGCTTCTGGAACTAAACATTCATCTCTACAAAAAATATAGCATAGTAAATACTGTATGTATGCAACTAGCATGATGTATTATTGCTCTACATTTCCTTACATTTTAACCTTTGATCCACTTATCAAAAATTTTGAGACATAATTTGGCTTACACATGCTAGAGTATCCAGTAAATATAAGCTGGTTTTATTTCTTAAGGGGAGTTTATACAGTTTCACAGGGTATTGTCATTTTTTTCTGACCTTTATGAAGTCCATGTACATGGACTCTTGTGTAAAACCACTACCATCAGTATATCATCAGAAAAAAAAAAAAACTTTTAGAGGCATTTGATATTCTCAGAACTATCCGGAAACTCCTAAATAAACCTTTATTTAAATTTTTTATATTATCACTCATTGTACTTACGATAGCTGTAAAAGTTGTATAAAAGCTTTTCCATCTTGTAAATCTAAAACTGATCTGATAGAATTACTTGGAACTAATGAATTAACCTGAAAGTAAAACAAACTAAATAGTATTATATAAATGTAGTAGAACTGTAAAGATTTTATGCAGCTTGATTCAAGATTTACGTTGAAAATAAAATCTGTACAAATTTAGTATAAATGATGAAGGAAGACCTATATATATTTGTACACGGAGTCAACATTTACTGTTATATTAAATACACAATCTCTGAAATCAAACTATAAAAGATCTTTGAAATGCCAATGGAAAAGTGTTGTGTGTAGGGAAATGCCAATGGAAAAGCGATACGTGTAGGGAGAGATGAACAATTGTGCATCAAAGTGTAATCTACATTTTGGCATTGAGCCAGTACCAAGACAATAAACAAATAAAATGTTCATTTTAAGGTAAATCAAAATTATACATACCCATTCAATCAGTGCTTTTCTTTTATTATTGTCCATTGTTTATCTTTGTCATACATGAATGAAATTTAAAATCTGCAAAAATTACATTTTTATTATTAATTTTAAGATTTATTGAAAAATTGATAAAAGAGACAAACACAACTGACTAAGAATAAAAAGAGGAACAAGTAACGGATGGTAAGTGATTTCATTAATCTGCAGGTTGAGTACTTTTTGCTTCATGTTTGTTTTCAGGAACTTGATAAACGTTGATTTCCCCAAACTGACAGAATAAATTTAGAACTTCTGATTTGTTTACAGCATGTTGGAGAGACCTTTGTCCTGGTTTTATATATACATTGTGTATATCAGCACTTCCACAATTTGCAATTTGTCAAAGGACATAGTGACAATGTTTATTGTGTTTTTTTTGTGAATTCTGTCGCATATTCTAACCCTATGACAGCACTAGAGACATATCTATCTCACAAAATTTATATGATGTCACAAAATTCAGTTTGAAGAGGTATTCTGAAATTCTAGAAACGAAGTAAATAATAAATACTGCAAAGCCCAAGGACACAACATTAATTCTAAAAATGTTAGTAGTCAAAGGGTTAATGAAATAATTTAGCAGCTGTAACATCTAATATGTTGATTTTATTTTTGAAGAAATCCTCCTAAAAACCTAATAATCAGTTGGGAAAATCTACACACATACCTTTCTTGGACCTTATTTCTATTTTAGATTTTGTGACACGTCATATTGACATTAATCACTTATCATTTCCACTGTGACATCAAAATATATCCAGAATTTTTATCCAATAGTCGGTTATCAGTCATTTCGAAGTTCCATCAGTCGAGACATTGGCAAATGACTGGTAAAATTGGGTTTGGTCAGACAAAAGTGGTTGAAGTCTCAACATTTTCTGGACCAAATGTCTGGTAAGGTTTGAAAGACCTTGGAAAATACTGGGCTATAAATAAAGTTATTGTGTGTTGTTAATTTTTGGTTTGGTTTTTGCTTTGTCATGTAACACTAAAAAAGTGAAGTCTGGTTATTTTGTTCGTGGGTGGTAACTGTATGTCCAGTCATTTTGTTATCATAACATTAACCCTCTTGCTGCCAGAGGTACACACGTCCATATTTTTAATTTATGCAAGCACCTGTTCATTACTCACTGTACAACATGTATCTCTTTTAAATAAACATTAAAGATTATACAGTATAATTTTTCTTCTATAGGTATTGCTTGTAATGTCATATATCGAATGATGCCCTAGTTGGTCATGGTGACTTGAGACCTCCAACTTCTGCATAATAATAGCAGCATTTCCTGGCACATGTAATGTACATGTATAGTTGTATGATATTAGCAGCAAGAATATTTTTAGGGTTACCTGAGCCAAGCTCATGGCTATGAGTATGATTCTACTAATTTTGACTTCACACACTTATTGATTAAATTACACTCCTGTGTTTATTTGTTAGAATATTTATTTGCATGTTGTATGAAAAAAGAGGGGGACACGAACAAAAGTTTTTTTTTCTATTTGAAAGCTGCTGACAAGATGACGAAAATGAAGCGTCAGAGTAAAGCTTTAACCACATTCATTTGAAATTTTAACCATGAGAAAACCTCTAATGTCAACTTCGACGTGATGACGCCAGACTTTTCAGTCTCGATACCAAATATATATTCTGCTTTTTTTATTTTGATTGGGATAATTTGTTGAAACATCAAAATAATTTTGTTGGTACAAAGCTAAGAATAAACCACACACACTACATTTCATGGAAACTAACCATTGGCATTTGTTTGTAAATTACGCCATTCGCATCTTCAGCTGGAGAACTTTATTTTGAATTTCAGCGGTCAGCCTCGTTTTGGAATTTTCTAATTCATTTCGAAGAAACGAACTTTGCATGTAGTCTTCAATTTCAATATATTTATTAAAACTATCCCAATAATGACACCAATAGCTCATTTATTAAAGGATTCCCTTTTTTCCAACTGACATTTAATTTCAAATGTAGGTCGAGAAATGAAAGCCCGAATCATAAATGCATAGTAAAAGGGGGGGTTCGAGTAATATCGGTACGTTTTAGAAGAAACGAACTTAACACGTTTAATTCAAATAAATCATTAATGAAAAATATCCCAATAATGACACCAATAACTCATTTATTACAGGTTTTTTTCTCTGATATTCTAATTTCGAAATCTAGGTAGAGAAATGAAAGCCCTATTCATAAATGCAAGGTTAAAAAAAGGGGGGGGGGGGGGGGGTGTGGTAATATTTGTACGTTAGATTAGATAGCAGATGACAAAGTGCACGTTTTCCATAATTGTTAAACCAGTAATATTTTTACAAAAAAAATAACTGATAATTTAAAAGAAATATAACAAATGTAACCAGCGGAACTCATTCTCAAAGCTAAAAAATAACTATACAAAGTATTACAAACTAATGAATAAATATGAAGTATGTTTTATTCATGTTGTAAATTTTCTTCTTCTTGTATTGCTTTTACCATGAAGGTTTTCTTTTATGCAATAAAGTTCTATGATAAAGTATGTTTAAACTAATACAACAAACATATTAATATCTATAAAAGGTCGATAATTATATGAACAAACACTTAATTACTATGGAGATAGAAATTAACAAAATCAGAGATTAAATAATAGCATACAACCAAAATACGACACAGATAATCAAATGCATTTTAGCTGATATAAATATTATCGAAAACCTTCACATTTCTAATTTTACCTCTTTTGACGGCACTGTCATTTCATCTGAAACAATTGATTAACATTCAGTTTGCTTTCAGTGTGTCACATAAACAGCAAAGCTAGTTAAATCACCAATTACGTTTTTCGTGTCATAGTTTCCTTGAGGCCACAACAGACTAAAAAGCACTTTAACGCTTTTACAATAAAACAATATCCGTTCTCACGTAGAGAGATAAGATCAATTTGTGACATTGAGTAAAGTTATACTTAATTGCAGTGGGCCTTCTAACAGAACCTCATTTGCCACACCCACGGGAATCTGACAATATGTATTCTTTGTAAAGCTACATTTAAAAAAGAAAATAATAAAAAAAAAAAAAAAAAAAAAAAATGAAGAAAAAAAAAACAAACTAAAAACAACAACGGAGTTATATGGTAATTTCTCTTTGGTTGCTAATCTTGCTGTTAGAAATAAAGCATCTAACATTGATATTATTTATGACATTTTCACCACGATTAAAACTTATTTCGGTGGGATAACTTAATTAAAATCAAAGTACTGAAGTACTGAACATCGGATGACCGCAGGTTCTTGTGGATGGTCAAAAGCACATGTCACAGAAATAGATCACATCTCTATACCTGAAACTGAGGTTAATTTACAGAGATATATTTTTTTCTGATACAAGTTCGTGCATGGATGATGAATAAATGACAGGAAATTCAACCGCACCGTAATAACTATTATATTGTAGTGATACAAATCAGTATACCTGGGACTATTATACTAATATAATAATAGTCCCAGAGTATACACTGGTTTGTTGTTATATATTATAAGACACTCTTCTGTAAAAAAATCGATTTTTCTAAAAGATTTGATATGAGAAGCCATTCATATTTTCTCGCAAAACAATAACAGAGTTATCGGTCCTTGCCGGGAGTGTCGCAAAACGTTCTTGAGATATTCTTCCGTAAGCTTTAACACAATTTTTCGGTACGTGTGCATAGATATCATCAATGATTTTTTACTTTTATATATAAAACTAACGACAACACATTTTCATATTATTAATTTGTGTATTAATAAAAATATTTATAGGAGTATCCATTGAAAAAATGAATTTGAAACAAGCGATACGTAATGTTATTTTGCACTAGATAATGATCGCGGACCTATAATTTTTATAGATCGGTTAAAAACCCAAAAATAATTTGCATAATGGAAATTTAGGCGATAGCAATACATCGAAATGACCTCACGGTCATCGCGATGTAAAAATGAAAATGTTAAAATTCAAACAATGATGAACTATATGGAATAGGCGCCCAAAGCATTGATAAGTTAAAGAACTCTCCTTAGAATTATAACCTTGTGTGAAATGTATCATATATACGTCTTAAGGGCATACGATACAGTTTTGATCCCACGGTGAATTTTTGACGAAAGTTTGCATACAAGCTATTTTTCACCTAGTCAATTCAGATATGTAATAAAAAATATATCTTCATGTACTACTTTTAGAGATAAATGGGGTCAAAATTTTAGACATTTACTGGAAATTTCGGTTTCTTGGACATTTCTATCCTTTAGAAAGACATACCTAACTTTTTTTGTTTTAAAGATAAACGCAAGTGGATTTTTGCAAAAGTGTCTGGAATATAAGTGTGCTTTGAATTTGTGAAACAATTCTTTGGAAGTAATTCATTTTTATCACATTTTCATGATTCTAGTCAAAGAACGGCATTTTTTGCTGTATATTTATCTAGTTTTAAAAAATTCATCGGTAATTTGTTCATAAAAATTGGCACAAATAATCTTCATACATAATCAAGCCAAATGTAATTTTTAAAAGAGGGGCCCATGAAATCGTTTTCAAGTTAAATCAGTCTGAATGATAAAATTCAGTCAAAAATGCATCTTTTCACGATATATCACAGTTTGACGTCGTGAAAAATAAATTTTACGTTAGCAATGTCGTTACCTCCCCTGTAACTGTATCGTATGCCCTTAATCGGTAACGAAGTAATTTGACGTTTTCAATTCATAATCGAGGACGTTTGTTCTTATCTTTAATATTCATATCAATGAATATTAAAAGAATCGTTCTCAAATGTAACAAAAAAATCACGTGTAAAAATCGACACAATTTATTATAAAGATTTATCACATGAACTGAAATCTGGATTAGGCATGCAGGATCATTTTTGTAATGGTTAAAATCAATTTTAATATAATAATTTTAATTTTAGAATTAAGAAATAGGATTGTACACAAGTTATTGCAACTTTTATTAACTTGAGTCCTCTCCCTACATATAAAATACACATATATGATGCCAGCAAAACATATATAGAAAGGCTTTAGAAATGAAAGGCGAAAAGTCGCACTTACATTGGTGCAAAAAAAAAAGAACAAAAATAAAGAACAAAACAATAAAACAAACAAGATAAAACTTCGCAAAACAGCTGACTTGGAATATAAAAACCGCTTCGCATGTGTAATGAAAAAAACCCCGAACCTTATCGAAAAATGTTAAGGTAGTTTTGTAGTGACATGCATCGTTTCCAGTATCAATGTATATTATTATTCATGTTTATAAGACCAATAGCCAGAGATATTATTGGTTGCAATATAATCGGCATTCCAGAAGGTAATGGATAGCATCTTCAACAGGTAGAAGCATCGGGACATTCAGGATCACAGGCACTTGTCTCTGTAAGAATCATATACCTATCATATATATACTATACTTTAATATGTAGAGACTAGTTACTATTCTTCTTCTTCTTCTTATGTATCCAGTTATCCATCAGATTTTTGATGATTACTAACTGCTGCGCATGCGTAGGATAATAGTAAATAAATTTTTACAAAAGAATAGTGCCAAAAATAAACAAATACTAACATGACATGTGGTTAAAACTATTTACATAACTACTGAGGTTTACTGTTCTATATTGTAGAGAACAGTAGGTGTCAACTATTCTCTAAAAATATTTAGAGTGGGGGAAAATACTACCTTTGGAGGTAGTAAATTCCATTGTGTAATAGTAAACGGAAAAAAATAATATTTGTAACAGTCTTTAAATGTAAGTAGGTGAACAATTTTATAGAACATTATTAGTCTAGTTTTAAGTCTGCGTTGAGAATGTCTGTAACGCTACTGGTGTTGTGATAACGATTACAGGCATACCTAGCAGCCCGACGCTGAACCATCTCAAGTTTATTTCATTGTTCAGCAGTTTGAGGGTTCCAATGCGAACAAGCATATTCTAGTTTCAGTCCGACAAGTGCTAGATACGCCTGAGACTTAATGTTTGTGATGGATGCTTTAAGATTTCTTTTAAGGAAGCCTAGGGTTTTATTTGCATTTCCAATGATGTTGTTTGTATGCTGGGTCCATTTTAAGTCGGATTGAAGTGTTATACCAAGATATTTAGCGGAGGAGACAGATTCTAGGGTATGGCTGTGGAGAATGTAGTCGTGTTGATCGTATTTTTCTTGTTTGAGGCAGTGAGAACTGTACATTTGTCAGGATGGAAAGCCATTAGCCAGTCTTCTTCCCACTTTGCAGCAGCATCAAGATCTTCCTGTGGTCTAGCACAATCTTTTTTAGATTTAATGCTTTTGTATATGATGCTTTCGTCTGCGAACAGTCTGAGTTTACTGAATTTCAAATATTCCAGAAATAGAACAGGACCCAGAACTGTTCCCTGTGGGACACCAGAAGTAACTGGAGCAAATCTGATGACTCTCCATCCAGGACAACTGTTTGTGTGCGGTTTGATAAAAAGGCAGAGATCCAGTTTAGTGTTTTATTTTGTATACCATAAAAATTTAGTTTGTATAAGAGTCTTTGGTGTGGGACTTTTTCAAAGGCTTTGGCAAAGTCCATAATTATTAGGTCTGTTCGGGTGTTATTGTCTGAATTTGAAGCTAGTTCTTGTACGAAAGATAGAAGTTGTGTATAGGTTGTTATTTTCGAGGGGGTTAATTAGGTGTTTTGTTATGACATGTTCCGTTAGTTTGCAACTGATACAAGTGAGAGAGATTGGTCTGTAATTAACTGCGTTGTATTTTCCCCCTTTTTTGTATGCTGGTGCGACATTTGCATGTTTCTAGTCAGATGGTATACAG